TATATAAATAAAATAAGGAGATAGAGGAGGAGGATTTTAATAATTATTAGCCTCGTTACGAATATAATTATTAAAGGATCGGTATTAGATTATCAAATTATATATTCTATTCAGATAGTTATATATCTTATATATTTAATAATTAATTTAGGTATAGGTTAATAAATAAAGGCTCTAATAGATAATAAGATTTTTTATATATATAGTTAAATTTAATAATTTTACGTAAATAGCGAATACTCTTCTCCTTTTATCGAGAGGGAAATATTATAGGGCATTCTTAGCGGATATTTAAATACTCTATTTTATTATAGTAATTGCTTATTAGAGTATATAGTCTATTATATAAGAATATTCGTCTTATTAACCTCTATTAAGGTTAACGGATTATTAATTAATATTATACTAACCTTACGTCTATTTTACTTATATTTAGTAAAGTTATATACGAGGTCCTAGGTTAAGGCTCGTAATAACTTTTATCTTCAACTTCCTTTAATAAAACTATTATCAATCGTTACGTACTATTACTCTATCCAGCAATTAGTTACTCACTTTATTATTCTCTATTGTCATTACTTGTAAAGTACATCATCGCGTAACAAGTATCTCCGGCCTTTAGACCTAATTGAATAATATCTACGCCCTTTAATCGAACGATATACCGATAATTAGTAATAATATTCCGAATAATATTACTTTATAGGATATATCTTCCGATTTTATTTCTAATTATACTATTATACTAAGTATTTTTACTCTTTCTTTAAAAATTGTACTTAAAATTGAAAATACCCCTCCCTATAATTCTACTATAATAGTGCTTATAATTATTTAATCCCCTAATAAATTAGAGGAAATTTTTAAACCTTTCCGCTTCAATTCTATTATAATAGTACTTACTTTTATTATTATTTAGTCCCCCGACGAATTAAAGAAAATCCCAGAGCCCCCTAACTTCTATAAGTATAAGGGAGAGTATAAAATAATTAAATAGATTACCGACCGTAGATATAACCTTATTAAATTCGAAGACGAAGTTTGGGCTCTTAATTTAATATAAATAGAGTTTATAGAGCGTTATTATTATAGGGTTAATATAAATAATCTTAACGGCCTCTACGAATTATAGATTCTAGGTCGATACCCTATTAATACTTACTTAAATCCGATAAAATATATTAAAGAAGTTAGAGAGTAGATTCTAAAAAATAATTTTGGCTAGTATAGAATACCTTCGCTTAGGTTCGAATTCCCGACTAAATACTTTAATAAATTCCATCTCTCTAGGGAAGAATAGTTCCGGAGGACGCTCGTCGCTAATAGTTAGCGTTAATAAAACCCGCAACTATATATATATTAGGCTATAGTACCCCTTAATCTTCCTTAAATTATTTTTATTTTTATTTTTATATTATTATCTTTAGGTTATTATTTACAACTAGTTTTATACGTTATCTTCCCGTCATTTAGAGCCGGAGCTAGAGGTTCTTATTCTTTTTTCTTTTTTTTATTATAATCTCCTATCGTTACCTTCACCTAATATTCTATAATATAGATTTTATACTATTATATCGGAATAGTTTTAAAGGAGGCGTATATAAGGTAATTATAAAGTTATATACTATATACTCCCTCTAAGTAACTACCTCTATATATAGGATGGAGTTTTAGCCTACAATTATAGAGGTAATACTTAATCTATAGAATATTAAAGTACAAAACAAATACGGTACTTTACTATAGATAATTCAATATAGCGTTTTCTCCCCTATTAACCCTACGCCTTTTACTTATATATATAATATAGGTATAATATTAGAATTAAGTACCCGACCGCTAAATATCTAATAATTACTAAAATAGGGTATAAAACGCTTATAAATATTAATTTATATAAAGAATATTATTAATATATTAAAAAGATTTATTCTATAGAATATATAATTATATAAGTAAGTATATTACTTCACCAACTTAAGCTTTAAATAGAAATGATACTAACGTTTTCGATAAAAATATTATTTTAAAATATTTAATTATAATAATAATATAATTAAATATATAACTATTATTTGATATAAGAATAAATCTAGTATATTAAGCGAATATATAAAATAAAAGTTAGTATAAATATAATATTATATTTAGACTAGAACGCTACTAACATTACAAATATTTATATAGAGCGAATTAATCATTAGGTAGGTACCGGCATTATAGCTACAAGTAGTCGTTGTAGCTGCAATTTGCCGTTGAACGACCAACTTTCCGTTTCACTACAACGTACATTACGATACAGTACACAGTTCTTAACAACAATACGCTTCGCAATAAAGATAATTCCAATACAACGATATTTATCAATTAACGATTTTCGGAAGCGAACACCCATACACAATAGCTTTATCTAAAAAGATTCCATTGCAGCGCCAACTCCCTACTAGACCCTATATTATTCACCCCCCTTCTGCCTCCAGGGCAGGGACATTGATTCGTATATAGACATTGATTCGTACCGCATCCTTGTATCGAGACGGTATATAGTGTGCATGCATTGGGCACTCACTTAGGAGGGGTAAAATGCAGCTACACCATATACATATGCAGGAAGACCATCTAATCGGCTTAGTGTGAAGGACCTTGGCGCCAAGGGCTTTTGCTAGCGAGTAAAAGTCACTCGCGCGGTACGAATCAATGTCCATGTACGAATCAATGTCCCTGACTAGTGGCTCGCCCGCTAGTCTGACGGTCGATTTTGTAGACCTGACGAGTACCTCTAGGCATCACTTTTTTTTGCACTTTTCGTGTACCACAGACATTGCGATACCGCACCATCAGAAACAGTACAACAACAATTTCGACCTCCTTTGCCCCTCGAACCTCCAGATCTTCACCAGATTTGGGGGCCGGTGGCCACTTCCAAAACTCCGCGCCAGCTTGGCAGTCCCAAGCTCCAAAGTTGGTCTGTTCCATCGATGCTTCTCGTAAGAATAAAAGAACGAGCGGGATGCCACCAATTTACAAACAAGACGATAGGCGCGTCTGCTCTTCTGCACCAATCGCAGCACCCAAAAGGGAAAGCAAGACCCGCGAAGTAACATGACACCCGTTCCGGTGCCATGATTGCCGCACCAAAATTGCAGTCAAAATATACGTCTCAATTTCAGTGTTTATCTATACCGCTACTTACGTTAAGGCTCAGACTTTGGTCCATGTGAAGATATCTGCTTTGGCTGTATGCATGTTCACTAGTAGCAGCGATAGTTCCCATCCATCGTTCCATGTTTCGGAGCTTCCGTCCCTGAGAACATGGAAAGAACCTGTCAGAAGCCCGACAGGAGGCCACCAGTCACCAGAGGTACCTACTACACGATATTCCCCCCCTGTGTAAACTGGTCAATGACTAGAAACTTGCAGCCAATGATTCCTTCTCCCGTCACCACCACCACGGTCTTTCACTTGCATGCTAGATACGCCATGCTGCCGTTAGGTTCGGGCGAGCCCCAACTCGGAATCTGCTTCACACAGCATCGCTAGCTAGAAAACGCCTCATCCCCAGCCGCTCCGGCTGATGTGAGAAATTGCCATCAGCCTGCCAATCGAGAGCTTTGATGACGTTTTCGGGAGACTTTTGGTCGGGTAAGCCGAACTGCGGGCGTTGCTATTGACGGCCATCACTCTCGTCCGAGTTTCCACACATCGCCGGTACGCCGGTATGGATCGCACCGCTAGGCGTGGGTTAGGGTTCAAGGTGAATTGTACCAGTTCTGTTTATTTGCTGCGTGATGCCAGAACTTGGCAGGCATCTACATATTCGTACACCGACGGGGATTTTCCGTTGTTCTTCTGGATCGTTGACCATAGCGAGATTAAGACGGGGTCAGCTTCCCCCAATATGTCATTTGCTCGCGACAACACAGATAGGCCATCGTTCCTAGCTTTCCATCAACCGTCTTTCCACAAGACACTTGAGTGTGTGACCGTATATGCCTCTTCAATACCTACATCAAGCCTTGGTAACCGGGAGTTTATGTACCCGCAGAAATGATGTTCCCTTCCTTTTAGTGTATAGGTACCAGCTGCTCGATCTCGGCCTTGTTTCAGTGTCGAGAGCATGGATCAAGCTTTCAACTGGCTAACACCCTTGGGAAAAGAGATGTAAAACAATCTCCATATCAGACGGAATACAAATCTTCCTCCTTCTCAACAGATGCATCAATGTGCATGTTGAACTCCTTTTCCGGGTCAAACAAGAGGAGAGAAACTAAACCGTTGTGTCAGCACGATACTCGAGAGTAAACCAAGGGGTTCTGCTCGCCTTACCAGCGGCAGCCAGCGCAACAAAGCAAGCACCGGCGATCCAAACGTGCCTGAACGCCACAACAAACGTTTCTTGCAAAGCAATGGCACCGGCTTCAACGATATCCGCCGTTACTCCAGATATTGTCCCCAACATCTTTTGATCTTGGGCTTCAAGTGCTGTGACAAACATCTCCACATCATCGGGCGATATTCCCCTTGGCACAACAACCTTTCCAACGTTGTTTCCCAAATTCTTCATCACATCGTGAAAAAGCGCATTGTATACGGCCAACCCAACGGTTCCCCCCAGCGACCGAATACTGATGATCAGTCCGCTGGCAACACTGATGAGCTCCGGCGGTGTCGACAACTGCGCAACTGTGACAAGCGTAGTGAGAGTCGTGCCCAAAGCGCTCCCCAAAAGAACCGTATAGCCCCAAGTTGGTATATCCGTCTTCCTCGTAGTTGTCGCCATGCATATAAAGAAGGCGATAAACATCCCGAAAGCGGCAAAGGTCGCCCACTTCACACGCTTTGTAACTGCACAATACCACCCTGTCAAGCAAGCAAAGATCGCAGCAATGATCATGATCAGACTGTACCTCACCCCAACCAGCAGCGCATCCGACTCGTACAGCACGCTGATCTGGAAAGCAAAGTACGTGTTAGCCGCAAAGAACGCCACGCCCTCGGAGAACACGCAAAACATTGCCACAGCAAAGTTGCGATTACCCGTAAACAATTTATGATGGAACATCCCATCCTTCTTCATCCATGTCTCATACAACACCAACCCAACCACAAACAGCATTCCAACCGCAAAAGTAGCCGAAACCTGCGGATCCCTCCACTCAAACGGATTTCTTGAGTAAGACAGCGCCACGGAAAAGAGCACCAACCCAACCGCCAAGAAGAAGTACCCTCCCCAGTCCAATCTTGCCAGTTTCTCCCTCGTACTCAAACTCTTTTGCAAAAGCCTCTTGGGCGGACGATACACCCACCAACACAACCCCGCCGCCACGACATAGACAGCCATATTGAGCAAGAAATACACCCTAAACCCCTCCCCTCCTGGATCCCCAGTCCTGTTCAACACACCACCTACATAGAGTCCCACCGCTGCACCTAACGTATTGCTCGCCATGTCGGCCGCCTGGCCCCACGCCCTCCATCTACGGGGCAATACTTCCGAGGTGACCACGTGCAGCAAAGGCTGCGAGCCGAAGCCGAGACCGATGACGGCGAATCCCAAGATGGCGACGGGCATGGAGGGTGCGCGGGAGACGATGAGCGACCCTGCCCCGCCGCCGAGGAAGGTGGGGATGACGAGAAACCATTTACGTCCCCAATAGTCGGCCGCTTGAGAGGTGATGGGGCCGAGGACAACAGTGAGGATGGTGATGGGGGCGGAGAACCAGATTGATCGGGTTGGGGAAGAGAAGTGGGAGGCTATGGTTTGACCTTGCTGTGAAAGGTAAATGAAGATGTCAGTCTGGATTGCGAGGGAAGGAGTCAAGTCGTAAGCTGGGAAGTTGAGATGTTGAGAAGATGGGAAATCATGAATTGGAGAAAGACTGGAGCGAACGAGGGAAAGAGGGAAAGTGGGAAATAGAAAAAAAAGAAGAGTGAAAAAGGAAGGTGGGAACCTGGAATGCAGGAAGGTGGAAGAGGAGGAAGGTGGGGCTTTTGGGATTTGGGAGTTTGGGAATTTGGGAAGGAAGGAGATAGGTACGCACAGCTCCGGCGCCCACAAGACTGATCAATTGGGCGATGTAGATGAGGCACACGGCAAACACGGCTAAAAAGGTCTTCGCGTGGAGGTGAGGGACTGGGTCGTCGGATTCAGGGCCATCGCTGGTCTTGTTCTCGTTGGTTTGTGAGGAGGGAGCCGTTTTAGTGACAAGCGCTACTGGCTTGGTTTCTTCTTGCACTTGTGCGCTTGGAGACGTCTCATCTTGCGAAGACATCATTGTGAAGATGTGTCGAAACGTTATCGAGAACTGGTTGGGGAGTAGGAACAGGTTGACGAGGTCTCAAATCTGTCGTGAAAAGAGAGCCACGAGATTTTCCCCTGTCGAACAAGAATGGAATTTGAGCATTTGATGGCTTGCTCTTGAGCCTCGGGAGGTCTAACACATACCTACCTAGGTACACATCTTACATGCGACGCAAAGCTCCAAGGTTGGCTCAAGTTGCTTGGGCTGCATGACTAGATGTATGGAGGCATGGAAGCAAAATCCACCTCCAGGCATGACGTATGTTGTGCTCCACGCCCTCAGAGTCTGTTCGGTTTCGCGTCAAGACTAACGTTAATTCGGGGTTTGTAGTAATAGGAGTGCAGTAAGTATACTACTGTATTGATGTCATTGTATAACGTTCGGTTTTGAAACGTTACTAAGAGGTATCTTTGGTATGGAATGCAAGTCGCCGTATCGAGTTGTACTTCCCCAAACTACCCCAATGACATACATGTTTCATCTAACTTCAATCTCCAAACTCCAAAGTTGACCAACTGTTGAAGGTCAGCACTCATGAAGTCTGCACTCGGTATTCTCTTGTATCGCAAAAGAATCCGGCCGATTGGCTTTGGGATCTCGCATTTTGAGCACACTTGGGGCATCTCCAACATTGCGGACTACTCAGATGCCTCAAAACCTAAAGCCTAACGTATCCATGCTACGTCTATGTGAACCGCCAGTAGTAAATCTCATACTTTCCAATTACCCACATATCATCTTAGATCTCGAGCGGCCCACGTTTCAGGCCAGTACCACCTCCAACCAAAAGACTTCAGGTCTGGTACGGCTTCAGGCAGCTTACTATTCGTCCCTCCTTTGCTCAGGTTGTAACGGAACGTAACTCCATTCAAAGAATCCGTACGAGGGAAGCTATGGGATGTCAGAAGGAAGAAGTTGCCTTTATTCTCGCCAATTCAGTTTGAGTGTGGTAACACTCTTGAGAAGGATCGCCCGAACCGTTCCATCTTCGAAGATCGTGGGGACAAGGTGACAAGTGGCTGCAGCTTACAGCCATACAAAATGACAGGCTCATGACCCTCAAAGAGATGACATGAACTCAGAAACTTGACTATAAGCCTCAAAGCATCATTCTCTTTTGTTTTCTGGCCAGAACTACGCTGGTAGTGGCTTAGAACTTACAGTGTCCGATGAAAAGTAAACAAACAAAAAGGGAGCGACCCTAACCCTTCCGCTACCGTACAACCGGCGGAGTGCACTTTAGGGTTCGGTAAGCTCAATGTTGGGTTGGTGACGCGAAATCTCCAGGATGTGGAGAACTCCACTCACCACAGCGCTGGAACAATCCAGGATCAGCGCTCTACAGGCCCAATCCCGCGTCGAGTGTGACGTGACGGCCTGGGTTGCCCACAAACAAAACGTAATTTTGGGAATCTGCCGGTCATCAAGCGTTAAGTGGAAGCTCGCTATCCGCACGCATCGTGCCCCGCGGACGGAAGTGAATTGGAAGCTCCTTTTGGCTTTTGTCCTCAATTGATCGCTTGTTTTGCTCTTTTATTTTGCTACTACGGTGTTTAGTCTGGACTCCAAAGTCCAGAGAGCCATGATCGAGAATGGTGCGAACCCGGAGAATGGCCGCCATGACCGGCGACGAGAACAATGGCGAGCAAAGCAGCAACGCGACACCGAATAACACCCAGCCGATGGCGATTGCTGAGAAACCTGCGAAAAAGAAAAGGTCCCCAGTCAAACCCAAGGGCAGAAAGGTCGCGAAACAAGCCGCCCGACCTGATGTGAAAGAGGAGGAGCAAGCCGAAACCGATGTGCAGCTCCCTGAGATAGGAACTTCGAACACATCAATTGCTCCCGACGACGAGGAACAGAATGTCAATATCTCTGACCAGCCGAGCGCAAATGTCAACAGAGCGAGGCCCTCAGCCACATCAAGTACAACCTCGGGACGCCGTGTCCAGCCAAAATCAACAAAGTCCAACATCAAGGCCAAGTCCAGGTCCAAGACCATCGCGGTCGTCGAGCCCCGGGAAATGGACGATCCCGAAGCCGAGTATGATTCCGACATTCCATACATACCCAAAGATCTTCGGAAAGAGCTACGTGAACGGCTATCTTGGGCTGGTCTCACATATCCCGAGACCTGGCGTCCACGTGTCGATAGCCCCTTCGATGCTCCTCCCCCGCCTCCGGAAAATCCACCACCGGCCGATTCTATTCTTGTAGCAGGTTTGGCGGACGGCGAGGTAGGCTACCTTCGCCAACTGTTGCGATACTGGACATCCGAAGATAAGGGCTGCAGGACTGCCAACAAGTTCTTCCACCGGCTCCACTACACCTACAAGAAGGTGGATTCGCTTCCAGAGGCTTTGGCAAGGCATGACCGGGTATTGGCTCTAACTCTGGATCGCCTCGCACGAGCGATCCCCTTCGAACTATTTCTTTGCCGGCTCGACAGAGGCTATGAAGACACTGACATCGACCCTCAACAAGTGTCTCCCTCCTACGTCATTGAGGATCTGGTTGACTTGCAGGGCCGAACCTACGCAAAGTTTGTTCCCGTTGACGAGAATGACTGGACACAAAAGACCACCGAACATCGAAAGCCCAAACTCCTTCCTGGTTACTGTGATGCAGTACGTACCTCACATACCACCACTAAAGCCTTTTTGGATCTCTGCTAACCACATCCCAATCCGCCAGGCCCTCGTCCTTGTCCCTCGAGATACTGTGGCCGACTTCCTGTGGGAGACCATCGAAGCAAACGGCCCGCCGACTGCCAAGTACAACGTCACTCAGACTCCTCTGCGTTCGTTGCTCGAAAATTATAGGACCCTATGCTCAAGGAGCGTCGAAGATCACGTTCGCTATTGGCCCATCTTCAGCAACCTCATCCGGAGGGCATGTACCTGGGATAACGAAAAGGGACTTGGGTTTATGCCTGGGGAGTTGGTGGAGAGCATTCTCAAGGCTTGCATATCTGCCAAGGACTGGGATTTGTTTACATTTGCCGCGGGCTTTACGGGATTTGCCTTTCGCAAACTGCCTTACGATCCCCAATCCTTTGTCAAATGGGCTCGTGCTGAGATCACAGAAGGGAGAGCCACCTTTCAAGACATTCAGGAGGGGTAAGTGATCTAGAGCATTGGTGATATGTATTCTGAGAAGCTAACGCAAACTACTAGTATTCTGGCCATCTCAGTCTCCCACAGCTTGATCAAGTACAGGTGCTCCTCAATTACCGCCTTCTACGAGACCACGGACGAAACAGTTCCCCGAGATTGGGCACGGAACGCAGTAGTCCGCATAGCTGACTTTCCCGGTTGGCAAATCATCGGCCAACAAGATGGAAGTGAACTTGTTTCCGCCCTGAAGACCTGTTTCAGAATGGGACCTGACTTCATAGAACTCGCCACGAAGTTAGTGAGACGAAACTCGACAAAGATTCCCTTCCTTCTGGGCTTTGCCAATGAACTCCACGAGACCTGCTCCACGGAAAATGCAACAAAAAAGCTCTATCTCGACTTGGCTGAACACATTTTGAACGAATTGCACATCTACAAACTCCACAGTCGTTCCGCGGAGACGGCACGGGTTAGGGAAATCATCCAGCTTCGTTCAACCAAGGTCACGCAAGACCTAAAAATGATTAAAGCGGCAATTGAAGGTATCGACAAGGCCGACATGTCTCGCTTCATCTCTGGACTAATCGCTGAAAACGCCGATACCCTCCTTATGCGCTTGACAATGAAATTGGTTGGCGACGCAAAACGCATCCCGCTTCGTGAGCTTACCCATCTCTGGGTTCCTTTCCTCTATCTCCTCCCGGACGTCCTCGAAAAGCATCATATCCCGCTATCAACACCTCGATATCAAAACATGTTCGCTGCTATCATGGAGATGTACCTACTCAGGGAGGTAGGCAGGGCGCCGAAACAGATCTGGCAACCTGTTATGCGCACGGTCAGTTGTGACTGTGGACTGTGCTTCAGGGTCAACCAATTTCTTTCCGAATCCTGCTCTTTCAAAGCTGTTCGGATTCACGGCTCCAGTACAGCTTTTGACCACGTACGACATTACTTGACAGGACTGCGGGAGGGCATCTCCTGTGACTTTGCGATTGATGCTGCTTCGGGCACTATAACCGTCACGAAACGCTTGAATCCTGATCCTACTGCTCTTAAGCAATGGGAGATTAAGAAGAACAAAATGAAGAAACAAATTTTCGCAAAGTTTGATCAAGCAAAGTTGCGTGCCATTCTTGGCGAAGAATATTTGTGGTTTACAGGATTTCAATTCTTGGAGAACAATCTTGAAATTGAAGTTCATGACGAGAAAGAACTTCCTCCACCTCCTGTGCACTCCGCGCCGCTTCTTGGGAAACCGATTGATCACTTCATTATCGGTCGACCGGATCTCTCCACTCCGTCAGCCCAAGGGTACCGTCAACCTGTGGCAGCTCACCAGAATCACCATCATCCCTTTCACCAGTCTACTGTCTCTGGCTATCAAGGTCCGCAACCAGGTCAAGCGCGCCCACAGCCTGTAGGGACATACTACAGTTACCAGCTTCCTCCGCCTAACCAGGGTCATCGTGCCCCGGCCAACCCCTGGGCTTATTCGGATCCTACCTCTCAATCAACCCAATCCGGTAACTTCATATCGGCTTACTCAGACGGCTTCGCCGGGTCCATCCAAATGACCAACAACGTCAACAACCCCCAAACAACCACCCATATTCAGGATACCTTAGAGCATGGTCGCCAACTATTCTTCTTTGAGGAGCAAATCGTGATCCAGAGACAATTTCCCAGCTGGCAGAGTGGTGCGATCAATGCGGAGCTATGGAGACGATGGACTACCATGGCTTCTAGTCGTCAAGAGAGTTACGTGAGCAGGGCAACGGTGGCCCAAAACCAAGCTCAAACCCAGGCCCATCCCTCCTTGCCTGCGCCACATCATTCAGCACCCCAGCCTTCAGGCTCAAGCTTGTCTGCGGAGGACGATTTAAAGGCCGGCAGGGAATACTACTTTTCGACACAGATGGGCTCTCTTCGAGCAAAGCACCCAACATACAGCCACCAACTCTTGTTAGATAAAATTTCGACAGCATGGAGCTCATTGCCACGGACCCATCGCGAATGGTTCAACAAGCAAGCCTTGTTGCAGAAGCAACAGCAGCCCCAGCTCGCTCCTTTGGACAATGCGAGGGCTGTGGGTCCGTCGGGAACTCGGAGCATCCCGTCTCTTTCTAGCATTGCACCTCCTCCACCTCCTAGCGTAGTCCCAGGCATGCTCCCAGATCAAGCTCAACCTTTCCCTTCTGTTCAAAGCAGAGTGGCGGCGTTACGTGAGGAGGCCAAGGTGACACTTACCACGGCGCTTGCGATCGCAAAACCCGTTGTTGACAAAAATGGAATGGTCGCCGTTCGTACATCTACCAGACTGTCGATCCCAGAGCAGGATTATATGGAAAGCAAAGCACGACTTGCCCCGTACCCAAATGTCGCTCATCTCGATCCGTGCCGCAAGGATCTGAACCGTGGCCGGACCTGGTGGATAAACAAATACACAGATGGTCTTTCGCGTCTACTCTCAGGCACGTCGGAACAACAAATCAGGCAGCAACTTGGCGTTGAGTGGGAAACCTGCCTAACTATGGGTGATCGTTTGAGGACCGATGATATGGCACGTATTGAAGAGGCGAAGTCGGCTCTCGCTAGGGAACGGAACAGTCTAAATGAGGTTATGTTACAACGGGCCACGAAACGGGCGAGAACATACGGGGCCTCGACTTCTGCGACGGCTGCCGGCTCTACGCAAAAAGGACCGGCTTCAGCCTCAGCCACATCACCGCCTGTGTCCGGCTACGAGGTTTTTGCTAAAGAAATGGAGGGACGCCTTCGGAAGAGGAACTCCGGCGCCTCGGCAGCATCGCTCAAGTCGGTGATACAACGGCGATGGGAAGCGATGAGTGAAACGCACCGGGCAGTCTACGCAACCATGGCCTTGGATAAAGCAAAGTCAGGATCTGGTACCGTGGCCCCCTCAACCTCGACCTCAACCTCAACCTCAACCTCAACCTCAACCTCAACCTCAACCTCAACCTCAACCTCAACCTCAACCTCTGCGATATCCGCTTCTACCAGCACTGCTGCGCCAAGCCGCAAATATGACGGTTTTGAGTATTATCTCAACACCGAAGGCCTTAACGTCAGAAGAAAGTATCCTGAATATTCCTACGACCAAGTTGTCGAAGCCACGAAGCGGCAATGGGACGCTTTGACGTCCACGGCAAGGAGTAATTACAGTAACAAAGCGTTCGCGGCCGCACAACATCCGCTCGATAAAGGTATTTTCACCTGGCTGGAAGATACATTTAAGAGAGTAGCCAAGGATAAAGCAACCGTTTCATCAACCCCGGCGGCGCAAAACTACAGCGCTTCTAGTAGCAGCTCTTCAGGACCCCCGCAAGATGCCGGCTTCGAATTTTGGTTAAAATTTGAGGAACGAAAGTTCCGAGACAAGAACCCCGGGCTTACATATGAAGAAACGGTCACTGCTTTAAAAAAGACATAGGATGGCATGACACAGATGGCCCGAAGAATCTACGAGGACATGGCGGCGAAGGCAAAAGTCAACGCGGACATAACAGTTAAGCCAACTGCCTCGCAGGCACCACCAAGCTCTTCATCCGCAGCTACCGCTTCTACGATCGGGGATTGTAGCCAATATGACTCACCCTCGGAGTATGGCCGGTACGACGGCTTCACTTGGTTTCTTAACAGCGAAGGAGTGGATTATAAGAAACAAAACCCAAATGTCGCATACAGCGATCTAAGAACTGCAATGTACGCACGCTGGTGTGGCATGGACGGTATAGAACGGAGCAAGTTCGAAAAGGTCGCGAGTACTTTGAAGCAGAGTGCCGAAGGTCGAGAGATGTTCAACGGACTGAGAGAAGCTTACAGCCTGCCCCCGGGGCAAGATCCGCATGAGCGCCTAGCAGCCGCCAGGTGCCGCTCACCCTCGGATGCTGGTCGATATGACGGCTTCACCTGGTTTTATAACAGCGTAGGAGTGAGTCTCAAGAAACAAATTCCAGACATTGGATACGACGAACACAGAACCGAAATCTACTCGCAATGGAGTGGCTTGAAAGCTATGCAACGGCGCGAGTACGAAAAGGTTGCGTATACTTTGAGGCAAAGTGCCCAAGGCCGGGCGTTGTTCAACAGACTAAGAGAAGCATTCGACCTGCCTCCAGAACGAGACCCTCGTTCGTGGATTCCGTCTCCCCCGCCGAATACCGCCAGCGCTACCAGTGCCGCTGCCGCTGTCTCTTCTTCTACTACGAGCTCTAATGCCACTAGTAGCATGACACGGGAGGATTGGGAACGAAAATACGACGGCTGGAGTTTCTATCTCAACACTGCAGGGACGCTTCACTGTGACAGAAGAACTTCATACGACTCTGTTGTTGCTAAGATGAAGGCGCGATGGAAGAGCATGAGTGCTGTCGAACGGCTTGCATATGAAGACGGGGCTAAGGCTGCCAGGATGAGTGGTAGACGCCAAGTAACCTTTAACAACTTGAGGATAGCTTGCGGCCTACCTGAGGAGCCGATCCCCCCTCCCCCTGCTCATGGCGCTCCGCGAGTACCGACTTCTTTATCTGCCACTGCTACCGCTTCTACTGCCTCTTCTTCTGCACCAAGCTCTAATGCATCTAGAAGCATTACATGGGAGGCTTGGGCCCACAAATACGGCGGCTTTAACTGGTTCCTCAACACCTGGGGACACGCTTTCAAGCAGGAGAATCGTGAGCTGGACTACGAGCTAGTTGTCACTATCACGGAGTCACGGTGGGAGCGCATGACTCACGAAGAACGTCGTGATTTTGAAGATAAGGCAAAGCGGATGAGGGTGAATGTGGCAGGTCGCCGGATGTTCAACAAATTGCGGGAACTTTGCGGCTTACCCGAGGAGCCAGACATGCCCGAACCCGCCAAGACGGTAACGCCTCGTACTCCTTTTCCGAGCACATGGCGCGGCAGTGGCCTCAAAGCAGCCACTCCTTTACTGTCCTCCTCGCCCACGCGACCTGACCCGGCTTCCTTCTCACCAGCTGACCGTGCGTTGATGGAGATCGAGCCCAACAGAATGGCTGCCCCCTCTTCTAGCGCCGCGCCTGCCACGCCCGGGTTGAGTAACAAGGTGGCCAAGATTGACATCACCAGTGCTTGGGCTGTCAAATCTAGTAGGCTTAAAATTCCGCCCTTGACGCCGAGATCCGGGGGCGGATCGGCTTCGGCGTTTGGCTCGGGATCGAAGTCGGCGCCAAGGGGCGTGAAGAGAAAGGCTGAGCCGGATGTGATCGACTTGACTTTGGATGATTGAGCGTGTTTCAGTCGTGTGATTGTATGGACTGGAAGGGAGGATCGGTGTTTCTTGATGGTTACATGCAAGGATACGGGAGTTATGTGTACATGCTATGGCGTATGGCTTTGGATTTGTTCCGGTTTGGGAGACCATTGGATCATTTCTCGATTCCAAGTGTTTGGAGTAATTTGTTGGATTTTGCATCATGTTCTGGTCAACTGCCCGGTTGATGATTATAAGGCTACTTGCATATATCGGATGCTAGAGGTATGTAGTAGTCGGGAAGAGCGAGAGTTCCTTTGCTTCTTACTCTTGGCTTTATTGTATATACTTTTCGGTCGTTCAGCAACAAGAAGTTAAATAATGAAGCGCACAAATTGTTATGCATCAACGTCCCTGGGTGAGGATAACGGCCGGTGGCAGCTTGCGCTAACATCTCCTACGACCCCCATTACTTCAGTACCTACCATTTTACCAATGCTTGCAGCCAGCCAACCGACCCTCCTCGTCCCTTCGGTTATTTCCAAAGCTTCCATTATTATCAACCATCCCTAGTTCTGACTTATCGTTATCCAATATCACAACATACTGGATGCTGGCTCTTTCCCGCCCGTAGCATTATTGGACGGATGCACCGCCAGTCTGGATCTATTATATGTGGTGTACAATATATTTCAAAGTTCTTTCGCTAGCGTCGGGTGGGCGGGATCCACAGTGGCCTAACGGGCGGGCTATCCCTCTAGCGGAGAGCGGGCGGTCCGCTGTGGAGGGCGCGGGCGGCAACGGACGGACGGGTCGTCCCGGTCTTTACTGTTCCTGTTATTATCGTCATCGTCAGCGATGGCTGTGATAATTGTCTGGTCTCTCTATTATTTCTTCTCTTCATCCTCGTCATTTACGGTTGGAGTTCTTGATAACTCAACCCTCCTTGGTTTTCAACTTCGTAAGACAAACCTGACCTGATGTTCCTTGCAACCGACATCTTTGACAACCAGACAAAGGGGGCCCACATGGCGGGCACCGCGTGCTTGAACCTTCATTAGCGCAGGCGCTACTGTTGCACGCTGCACAGTAGAATCAATCCCCTGAAACTGCATGTAATTCAAGCCAGGGATTCTAGGATGCACCAAATGGCATATGTATATACAGCTTCTAGACTGGAAAGAAACCCACATGGGAATCCAGCCAACGGCCAAAACACAAAATCTCGACAGTCTACTCAAGTTTCACTATTCAAGACCAAGTGCGCAAGTACATTGGGCGTCAAAGACTATCCGGGATGTGGTGTGCAGTACGTCCCTAGTTGTGAGGTTGTAGCTGTGAAATAAAGCCAGCCAGCCAAAACCTATGCACCCATGGGCGTATACATATGCAGTTCCTAAGCGGAGGATGCAGCTGGCAGGGGTTTTACTGTACTAAAATTGCCAAAAATACCTCTAGAGACCTTAGGCGCCGACATGTTAGAGGCATGTACCTTACCCGTCCCATTGGGAAAGGGGGGTCAAGTTTTATCCTCGCGAGCCTCGGCGCTTCAATGTAACGGTGCAACGGTTCAGATCTCCTTGGTGGAAAAGAAAAAAAATCAAGAGGCAAGAAAAAGTCCCAAGCATTTGTTTTCATCCATCCATCCATCCATCCTTGTCCTTATCCTTATCCGCAGCGCTTGCTTGAGCTTCGGGTGGGTAATTGCATGATATGAGACCAGGGGGGGTTCCGTCGAGTGTTCGAGCCTTGTTCATCTGTTTTTTTCGATTGGCCAGCGCTGTGCTTTTTCTGCTTCGTTGGAAGGCTGTGTAAGTGCTCTGATGTTGTGTACTATACATAGTACTTAGTGTAGAGATGTAGGAGGGTGGTATATGCCTGGTGATGGGTCTTGAAGGGTATCATCGTCTGGATCAAATTCCAAAATCTTCAAGCAGACATGGTGTATGTAGTCGACAGCAGCTAGCATGAGCGGTGGCGATGAACTTCCTGACTGCCCCTGTGCAAAGGTGAAGCCGTCTTTTTTGTGTTCGCTGTGGACTGTAGGTAGGTACCTTAGTTACCCGCGAAGTTTGTAGCTGGTGATACGGGAGTGTGCGGCGCGTGGACAGTGACGCAGCAGACTGTGACCAACTTACTGTACCCCTCCCCTCCGTCATCGTTCCTTCCAGTTTTGCACCCCCAGCTTCTAGACGTACTGTCGTGCAAGTCTGGACCTGTAAGTAGGTAGGTAGTATCTCTGGCTCGAGAAATGCCAAACATCCCTTGTTCTACTAGGTGACCTGGCGTGGTGGCATGCTCCGATTTGCCGCCTCAATATCTCGATCCGTGTGTAATGGTTGCCTCGGGCGGTTCAGCTGCAGCCTGCCTGGCCCCCAAATCCCAAATGGTCACGATGGCCATCCACGGTTAAATAACAGTGTCAAGCGCCCGGCCGCCCTCCCTACTCCTCTACTCGGGCCTTGGAAATTGATGCTCACCACACTGCATCTCTCCATCCATATCTGGTTTTTTTTTTCTCGTGAAACCATCAAGACATACTTGCACTTTGGTCGCGTTTCTCTTCTAGTGTCTCAAGACTCTGCTTCACTTTCACGTTTGACGATCAATATGGGAGCCGCAGTTGAGCCCGACCTGAAATCGACGGCGACAACGCCAACCCCGCATTCTTTCCCTTCAACGCTTGATATCGAGACCGCTGAATCGCAACCTTCAGATTGCGATGTGAATCTCAAGATCCCCAAAGTTTTTCCTTGTGAAAACATCAAGGACATGGCGGGAAACGTAGCCAGAATCGGGATTCGACCATACAACAGCACAAACCCGACATCGATGGCCTTAGTACCAGTGGAGACACCAAATGAAGACGGCACTACCACTGTCAAGCGCCATCTTCCAGGTCAACCGCGAGTTCGGCTGGACGATCAAAATCCCGGCAGTCACTGGAAGACCTTAACGTTATATTTGAATGAGAACCACCTGACCACGAAGCTGGACGGTATGTTCAAGTATATGAAGTATGTCTTTGTAAGTTTCCTCCGAGTCCTTTTGAGCCGCCCTGGCACTGTTATACTGAGACTTGCAAGGTCCAAACTCCATCTTTCCTTCACATCATGTCTCTCCACCATCAGTACGCACACGACCGAGAGATCAAGATCGACGAGCATCCCTGTCTTCATCTGGTCTGGTACTACGAGCGAATCTACGTCAAACCCATCCCGGCCTACTTCTACTGCGCCGCCTTCTGGGAGTACATCGCCAACGCCCACCTGGATGTTTATCGAGCTTGCCTCGGCTTCATGAGGAGCTACTACTACTTGATCCAGTATGAGGTCGACTTTGCGTTGGCATGCGAGAAGATGTTGATACCCAAAAAGTCCAACGGGCAATTTCCCACATACGAAGAGTGGTGCGACTTCATCGAGCCCTTTACCAAAATCCACGACATCCAAGTCCCCAAGCGGTACCACTACGGCGAACTGCGCCTCAGTCGGCTCAACATGGCTGCAGCTTTCTTCAAGAGGAAGCTGGCCTTCTTCCACATTTACCCTCAATGGGGCTCCTTCCTCACCCACAGCCTGGGACCCCTGCTCACCATCTTCGCAATCTGCTCCGTCGTGCTCAACTCGATGCAGGTCAGTCTGCAGGCGCTCGACACAGATCTTCCGAAAGACCATGCATGGCCCACGTGGAAGGCCGTGTCGGTGTGGTTCCCTATTGTCGTGACGATTTTGATTGCCGTGGTGATCCTTCTGGCTTTCAGCGGCGTTTGTTTCATGGCTGTGGTAGATCTCTACAGTGGCATCAGGACGCGTCGCAGGAAAAGAAGAGGTGATGCGACAGCTGGCAAAAAGACACATGGCGTTATCTGGTAGAATGTTATCGGAACGCCGATCGCCAGGACAGCCTTTGTCGGATGCCTCAGAACGTCGAGAGGTCAAACCGTATGGAAAGAAGAACGGGGCTTCGTCGATATTAGGCCGATGCTTCCAGTGTTTTCCTTTTTTGGGCCGATGGGGGATCGTGAGGGAAAGCTTGGCCACCACAAAAAACAACTCCAAACCCCGAATGTTCAAAACCCCATTGCTATCATTCTTTGCGGTAAGACTTTGCCCACTGTTTGAGGCGAGTTATAACGAGCATCACTAAAACTGGTCGAAGCAGCCTCGAGAAATGAAGCAAGCACGGCACCTTGATCCACGACGACAGACAACTCGTCGATGGTTTTCTCTGCCTCCGTCGTGCCTGGACCTTGTAACGGGCATGGTGCGACGTCGAGATGGCCAACGCGTCTTATGGCTTTATATGATTCACATTCGATGTTCTTGATGTTAACGGCTCGGATACAGAGAATCGAGATAATGAAGACCCACAGTCAAAAGGAGTGAACACCCGTAATATGGTTAGGTATTTCTGGGTCCGAATGGCCCTTGGAGGTGGACCTGGGCTGCGCCGTTTGTCGGGTGGCCAACATGTGGCGGTGGGTCTGAACTTTGGACGACGACGGTGTACTTATAATGTAATTAAGTCTATCGACGACGAGATGAATGAACGGTTTTCGCTGCTGATTCGTCCGCACGATGCCAGGCTCTGCGGTCGCTGGAGACAGCAGCTACTAGCTGGTATCCTGTGCTGGCTCGCTCGGAAAAAAAGAGAAGTGACAGTTTCAATGCAGTTGGTGGCTACTACCTTACATCAGAGAGATTGCAACTCTGGTCGTGGCTTCCACGTTAAAGAAAGAAGTTTGAAGGGCCCCGGGGAGAGAAAGGTCGGTGTTGAAGGAATTCCGTATTGGTTCAACAGATGTACTTGTACGTCAATTGGTGGAGCTGGGCCTGCCGGAACCTCAACCCGTGCTGTAAGTCTAGTGGAGTTGCACCATGCCGAGCGGGCTTGGCTCGGGGCCCCGTGTTCTTAGCCGGCACGGGAGTTGTAGCTTCCTCAGGTCTCGAATCTTGGGACATTCCCATGATCCATCCAGTGTTGATGGGTTTGAACCAATTAACCTTGTGTCGTCCAAAATCTCGTGCGTCTACAGGAAATGTGTCTATCTAATCAACTTCGTTTATCGCGTGATACAGTGTTTGGGTTTCAAGGTCCTGGTCGCCGCGTATGTAAGTACACACGGACCACCCATGTGCGATGAACTGCCTGGCATCAACTGTCCGATTTCTCAACGTTCCACGACCGCAATTATCTTACATAGTTCTCGTCTTCATCCCCGTTGACATGGGAACAACATCATGGCCCGGGTCTTGTCCGCGTACACTATGTACTCTAGAGACAGAGGCCAAGTCGGCGGCCGGCAGGTTCAGCTCGCTAGGCCCTGTCGGGAAGTTCCCCACTTCGGATCGGCACTCTGGATCTCGAGTCAAATCCCCGGCGTCAATGGCGACGCCCACCGCTCCACCATCTTTCTCATTCCCGGAGCACAGCACTACCACCTTCCCGAAGGAGAGTTTCGGCCTGCCTCATCCATCGATTCTGTTGGGAGCCTTCGGGAGGCAAATATTGGAGCAGTACCTAAGCAGCATTCATTACAGTGGCACAGCGTTGAACAGCGCCGACCTATCGCCGGGCATCGGCATCTACAGTACAGCGGCATCCACCATCACAGCCAACCGCCCGCTCCGGCTTACGGCGCAGCTTACCGCGGGTTTTAGCGTTCGTCATTTGCTCCGCATCGCGGTCGTTTGTCACGATCATTACATGGCTTTGTAGCTAGACGAAAGGTACGAACTCTCACTCACGATACGCGCCTTCAGTGATATTGGACCAGGTCCAACAACCTCTTCAACCTAGACCCCAAAGAGGAAGGTGAACTATTCACTGGACCCTTGCTGATCGCCTGGCTTTTCAGGTTCTCTTCATCTTTCCTCAGCTTTCCCAGTATTTATTCCAGGTAAGTGGCCTCTTTTTGTAGGCGTTCCTTTCCTTCGCCCACACTCGTCGTCGTCGTTTTGAAATCTTCAAAATGATGGGACTTGGACGTCTGCTGGCCGCCACGGCCTGCGTTGCGCAACTAGCCTCTGCTTTTGCGCCCCTGACTGTCCGGAACCTTCGCTTGTCGGTGAGTGCTTGGTGCTCCTCCCATTGCTTTCTTGACAGATCGTGACTAATAGGCATTTCAGTCAGAGAGCGATCTTGCGCTGGAGCCGGAGGGTGATTTCACCATCCAGGAGAGCACCGACCCCACGCTCCTATACCCTGCCCGGACCATCAAGGTTCCCGTTGACCACTTCCACAACGACACCAAGTATGAGCCGCATACCAACGATACTTTCGACCTGCGCTACTGGTTCGACGCGACCTACTACAAGAAGGGAGGTCCCGTCATTGTTCTAGCTGCCGGTGAGACGAGCGGCGTCGGACGTCTCCAGTTCCTCCAAAAGGGCATAGTATACCAGCTCGCCAAGGCGACTGGTGGTGTTGGCGTCATCCTCGAGCACCGCTACTATGGCAAGAGTCTGCCTACCTCCGACTTCAGCACGAAGAACCTGCGTTTCCTCACTACTGATCAAGCGCTGGCCGATACCGTCTACTTTGCCAAGAACGTCAAGTTCGCCGGTCTTGAGCACCTGGATCTGACTGCGCCCAACACTCCCTACATTGCATACGGAGGTTCGTATGCTGGCGCCTTCGTCGCCTTCCTGCGCAAGCTGTACCCCGATGTTTACTGGGGAGCCATTTCCTCGTCCGGTGTCACTGAGGCCATCTATGACTATTGGCAATACTACGAAGCCGCGCGGATCTACGGTCCTAAGGATTGCGTGACTGCTACCCAAAAGTTGACCCACGTTGTCGACAACATCATCCTCAACAAGGCCAATGCCAAATACGTGCAGAAGCTCAAGGATGCATTCGGTCTCGGCAACCTCACCCACACCGATGACTTTGCCAACACCATCAGCTTCGGCATCGCAGGACTGCAATCCACCAACTGGGATCCCGCGTTGAACGACACCTCATACGGCGAATACTGCAACAATGTCAGCTCCAATGCGCTGCTGTATCCCGAGACAGCTCGCCTTGAGAAGGACGTCCAGGAGCTCTTGACTGTTGGCGGATACGGCAAGGAGGTCAAGACGCTTACAAATCAGTTTTTGAACTACATAGGCTATGTCAATGTCACCTCAGTCCAGTCGTGCGACGGGGATCAGAATGCCTGCTTTACCTCCTATGACAGTGAATTCTACAAGAAGGACGATCTTAAGCAGACGTGGCGCTTGTGGCTGTATCAGGTCTGCGATCAGTAAGTCAAATACTTCTTCATCCTTTCTTTTTTGTTTCAGATTCAACTAACATGGTCCCTACAGATGGGGCTTCCTCCAAACCGGGTCCGGTGTCCCGCACAACCAGCTTCCGCTGATCTCCCGCGCCATCGACCTTAATTACACGTCCATCGCCTGTCGCGAGGCCTTCAACATTAACAAGCCTTCGGATGTCGAGTCCATCAACAAGTACGGTGGCTTCGGCATCAGCTACCCGCGCCTGGCCATCATTGACGGCGAGAAGGACCCCTGGCGCGCGGCCACCCCGCACGCCATCGGTCTCAAGGATCGCAAGAGCACCATCAGCGAACCCTTTATCCTGATCAAGGACGGCGTGCACCATTGGGACGAGAACGGCGTGTTCCCCAATGAGACCGCCCCCAACTTCCCCCCTAAGCCGGTGGAGGAGACGCAGAGGGCCATCAAGAACTTTGTGCAGGCTTGGCTTCAGGACTTTAAGAAGAGCGGGCATGGACATGGACATGGACATGGAAGTACGAAGCCTTGAGAAGCCCATGTGTCGAGGGTCGACTAGTGGCTTTGTGTTGTGAACGGGTGTCATACTAACCTTTTCCCAGGTGCCGGCGTCCATGATGAGCAGCAGGTTTTAGGGGACTTGTGAATTTGTGATGGAAAGGCATGATGAGCGGGATCATTCACCGAGCGAGCATGTTTCTTTGGATACAAAGCATCTGGATAGCATTGAGCGGAAAGGGTCTTGGATACCGTACACAGGCTCATGCATACCTTATGTATGTCGATGTGTACATGTACTCAATACACTTCTTTGTATTTCTTGTTACAATTTTTGCCGTTGTACCAACAATTCAGAGAACAGGAGAGGCTTCAAGACGTGATAACAAAAAGAGCAAATTTGACCAATGATGGCGAACCGTGATTCAGGGTGGTAAAGAAGAGAAGGTACATTCCGCAGTCCGGAACAAGTATCTACAGGACTTGAGAGGAAGGTGAGTGACAGCTTCCATATTGGCCCTGTGGCCAGTGTGACCTCGTGATTTGCAAGCCCTTTACGCGAGACTCCGCGACATTCCGCCCTTTCCTCTTCTTGCCCGTCAGCCTCTACAGATCTTTAATGTTGTCAAAAACTTTTAGCCAAATCATGCTATGAAACCACGCAGATACAGGAAAATAAACCGAACAAGCGGCGTTGCGTATAAACCCAGTCCATTGATTATCAACAGTGGAAATGAAAAAAGCACAAAGAGGTATCATCGCAGTCGTCATTATCTTCCGTCCCTTCTTCCATCCTCAACTTCCTCATCCCGTCTGGCTTTTCAACCACAGCAAACAGTGGCATCCTCCACGCCCTGCAGCCTCGGCACCTCATCGGTGAATCCACCATCCATCATCTCCTCCTCCTCCTCATCCCCACCAGGAATCTCAAACTTGACCGTCAACCAATCGCACAAGAACTTGCCGAGCAGCGCCCCGATCCAGATGCTGATGAGCACATAGCCATTGTAGTACATGGCCAGCAACATGATCAGATACCCCAGACCAAACATGACGGCGTGAATCAGGGCCCTTATCAGCTGCTGCAACGGACTGGCGCGGAACTTGAGGGTGGTTGCTGTTGTTCTCCTCCCCATGTATCCTCTTCTCTTCCCGGTGGTGACATGGACGGACGTTGTGGTAGCCAAAAGTCCAGCAGTCTTTGCTGCTGCATCCGCAGTACCACATGATGATGGTGAAGCCTGCCGTTGACGCAGACGTCGCTGTTGTTCGCTAATCAGGGCCGACCGTCTTCGAAAGTCACGGACGATCCACTCGTCGTATTCTTTGGCCAGCCGGCGCAGGAACTCGAGCATGACGACCATCAACATGATGCCGATGCAGGTGGCGGCGAAGGCGCCGCGCGTGGTGATTTGCCAGGACTGGTGGAGGAAGCAGGCATCGATGGTGTACCAGTTCCAGAGCATCTGGTTGGAATAGGTATGTTAGTATGTGCCTACGGTGTGAGTGGGAGTACCTTAGGGATACGATGAGAATAGTGGGATTGGTGCTACACGTGTAAGAGAGGGTAGGTGGTTACACGGGAGGAACATACTGAAATTTTACACGCCGGTCCGTCCATGTTCCCGTCTCCCATGTCCATTCGAGGTAAGAGGGTTGTGCCGTGTTGCTCCATGGTTGGGGATGTGTGTGCGAGAAAAAGGGTAAGGGGTGAAGAGTTGGTTTGGTGCTTGAATGTGGTGATGGCGGTTCGTGAGAGAAAAAAGATGGATTCGTTTTCAATTTAGCTTCGTCTTTGAGCTCGTTTCTTTGACGACGACTGCTCCCAATGTCCGTAGTCTGTGTGGTTGGGTATTTGGAAACCTTCTCAATCACACTACTTGGTCCAACGGGTAGGACAATAACAAATCGTTAGGTTCCCTAACCCAGCAGCTATTAGCTTGGAGTCAAGTGATTCAATAGGACGGTTATGGTTCCATTCGTAAGGCTAGATAGCGTGCAAAAGAGGCAGGAGATGAGGGGAAAAGAGCGGGAAAGAGGGAGAAAAGTGTCGACGGTTAGTGTGAGAGTGAGCAGGTATGAGTTGGAATCTCGGATGAAAACCTTCTTGTTCACGAGATGTTCCGTCCAGCCTCCCCATCAACGACGAAGCTCTGGAAATGATTCAGGGTCAATCGTCGGTGCGTAGCTCTCCGTCCGCTATGGATATCACCAATGTCATCAAATCGGGGACATCATGACGGTATCCCGGCCGAGTGTCGTTCGCCTGGAAAATGAGCGCGCCGCGCCGGACGGGAGCTCGTCTCGCCTCCATCCCATCATGTTCAGGGGGGGTTTGAAGCCCCGAGTACCTGGGTCAATTGTTTGGATCATCCAATGAAACGCGAGTACTTCCCCATTTATTAGGGTCCCCACACCACAAACACGACCTTACGTTACACCGTCACCCCACTGTTGGTTGCAGAAAAACGTGCTCAAAGATGCTCAACCACTGCAGCTGTGTCCAGACTCTAGCGTCATATCTTTTCTCTCTGGCCCCCCTTTCGGAGACAGAATAAACTCTCAAATTCTCTCGATGGCATGACCGAGAAGGAATGAAGGCAAATTCTGCAGTGGCATGATATACAGCCAAGCCAAAAACATGCTCACCCGGTGGAAACCAAGGGAGTATGAAAAATCAAAAAAACTGGAGGGGAGGGGGGAAATCAACACCAAACAGGCAATGAGAGGCGGTTTCCGGCTCACGGAACACTAGACTACATTGTTGAAGATGAGTGATGTTCTGGATCCGATGGCGACAGGAATCAGCAACCAGGGAAACGAACACCGTTGCAATGGAAACTTGCTCAACTTTCTCGGCGCTCCATACCGTGCCCGCCGTGGGCGAACCCCGGGCGATGTGAAACCAACTCAAACACGCGAACCGGATCCATTTCGTTTTCTTTTTGGAGATTCCAGAACACGGGTTTTGTTCAAGATCGATACCTCTAGGGACTGAAGCTACCGGGACAGCAAGCGACGCGAGGCCCGATGGTTGTGACTGGACCTTTTTGATCGTTTCGACCGGTTGTCCTTCGAGGTGAATATTGAAACTTCTACTTGTTATATCCATTCCCTTTTCCGCCTCGACAATGATTTTGGATTATCTCGACAACAGATCACCAAATCACCGGGCAATGGAACAACAATAACAACCTCACCAACACCCACCAACTACCACACCCAAAACAACATAAAGGGCACATAACATAAACCCGACTTCAATTTGCCCGGCTCGCCTGACATCCAACGGCCAACGGCCATTCTCTCTATCCCACCATGACACCACCAAGTCAATCCCAGCTTTCCGCAAGAATGATCCAAAACTTCACCGGCCAAACTGACCTCGAGTGGCATTGGGGCTACGCCTACCGTGTGGTCCCGTGCAAAAACGACCCGGGCTCATGCGCCTACCTGGACGTCGTGTACTCCGCTCACGATCGGGGGATGCTTTACACCGGGATTTTTTGGGCGACCATCTTGGGCATCTTGCTCGTTTGGGGTGTTCTAAGGCGACTTGGTGCTAGTGGGGGGAATGTCTCCAAGTATGAGATGCCCCTCGAGGTTGAAAAACGGGCGCTTTTAACCGAGGAGGAGGTAGTCACCAAGCCTCGCTCGGTGGGGAGATTCACCAGGGCGATGAGGGCAGTGGGCGCCACGGGGAGGAGCTATCTTCTCTCAAGCCGCGGAGTAGTGAAACCCATATTCGGCCAAGTCACCCGCCTCCAGGTTCTCATCCTCTTGGTCCTAGTCGGCTACCTCACCATCTGGACTTTCGTCGGCATCGTCTACGGCAAATGGATCACACCCGTCAAGGGCCAGCCCGAACACGTCAAAAACACGCGCACCTCCCTGGGGCCATGGGCCGACCGCATCGGCGTACTCGCCTACGCCCTCACTCCGCTTTCGATCTTGCTCGCCAGCCGGGAATCCATCTTGTCCTTGATCACCGGCGTCCCCTACACCAGCTTCATGTTCCTCCACCGCTGGACGGGCCACATCATTCTCGTGCAGTCGATCCTGCACACCATCGGCTGGGTCATCGTCGAGGCGCGCCTGTACCGCCCGCATCCGGACGTGTGGAACGCCTTCATCGCGCAGACGTACGCCCGCTGGGGCGTGGTGGCGCTGGTGCTGCTTGTGCTGCTGTGGGTGGGCGCGCTGCAGTGGACCATCCGCCGCACGGGGTACGAGTTTTTCAGAAAGGCGCACTACGTCCTGGCTATGGTGTACATTGGCGCCGTGATTGGGCATTGGAAGAATTTGCAGTGTTTCTTGGTGCCCGGGTTGGTGCTGTGGTTTGTTGATCGCGGTGCCAGGCTGGTGAGGACGGCGTTGCTGCATTATGGATATATCCCCAGCCAAGGCAGGGTCGGGTTCGCGGCGGCGCAGGCGGAGATGAAGTTTTGGAGGGACGAGAAGCATGGAGATGTGGTTAGGTTGGACTTTGCGCACCCGCAGAGGCCGTGGAAGGTTGGACAGCATTTCTTCTTGTGCTTCACCGAGGGAAGCATCTGGCAGAGTCACCCGTTTACGCCGCTGTCGTGGCCGGTGGAGGACGGAAAGGGTACTGTCACGCACTCGTACATCTTGAGGGCCAAGGGCGGAGAGACGAAAAAGTTGGCCAAGATTGTGCAGGATAAACTCGCTGGTGCGCTGTCGGAGAAGGCGGTCACCCCCACGACCCCAGTTATCCTCCAGGGCCCCTATGGCGAGAGCATTGTTGATGGTGTGACCCCCGACGTCAACGTCCTCTGCATTGCCGGCGGCACCGGTATCACTTATGTGCTTCCCCTCTTGATCGACTTGCTTCGGGACAGGAACATGAACCCCGCAAGGAGAGTTGAGTTGGTTTGGGCTATGAAGAGGAGCGAAGACGTCGAATGGGTTGAGCCCGAGATGGAGGAGTTGAGCAGACTCGGTGCTGTCCATGGTCTGATCATTCGCATTTTCGTCACGGATGATGGTGATGATACCGCAAAGGGGACCGTATCGGTCACTGGCTGCCGTGGAGAGTCGTCGCAGGAGGATGATGACAGCATCAAGAGAGCGCCGAGGGCGTCTGCCCAAAGAGCCAGCTCCACGGCGAGAGGAAGGCCGGATGTGACGACAGTGGTCAAGGATTTCGTCGAAGGTGTTGCTCAAGGCTCCACACGCGTGTTTGGTAGTGGGCCTCCAGGCATGATTGGTGAGCTGAGAAACGTCGTCGCTGACTGCAACTCTGGCTCGAAGGTCTGGAAGGGTGAGGACCGCTTTGATGTGCGGCTCGTATGTGATGACCGGCTGGAGTGGTAGTTTTCCTTGCTGTTTCTGATGAGATACCCCACTTTAAAATGTCTAGTTGCAAGATTTAGTGTACAAAAAAACGGCGAACTATTAGAATCCGATGCGCGTGAAGCCTTTTTGATGAGATTTGCCCCATGTCTTGTGTCTACCGTAGCTGATAGGATCTGAGTTGAACACACTGTGATGCTTGGAACAAGTAAACCGGGTGATAGGGACGCAAATACTTTGGCTCTTCGATCTGGGGACTGAATGGTTATAATTATATCGAACAAAGAGGGACTAGATAGAGGTCAGATTTGTACACTGCCTATCATGTCTCTTTGCAATTCATGGCATAAATTGGGAAGATACTGCTGAGTGTCTCCCGCCACGATTAACAACGGGAAAGAAATGTGGGTCCACCGTAATGCTGGGCAACGAGAGCGAACCTAGTAGAGGCCCTTTCCTGAAATCAGATGCCCCATGATTGCAGGCACACAACATCGCTGGGCCAGATGTGAAGTGCAAGTGTTCGTCGAGGTGTTGACACGAGGAGGAAATAGCTGGGACATGCAACAGAAGATGTGGTTGAATGGAAAATATTGCTAAATTCCAAACGAGAATGAGCGTAGTACAAGTAAAGTTGTGACGATAATGCCCGATTTGTTATGTGTGGGCGGGATGAGGGACGGGACGAATTGAAGAGCCCGGGCGATTGCCCCTGGGAATTTCACATGCCATTTTGTAGGCGCTGTGGGCATGACGCATGGGCCCCCGTTCGCTGAGTGACCACCCACTGGAGATCAGTTTTCTGCGGGGAAGCCCCCACCGCTCAAGTTCCACTGAAGCCGACATGTGCCGTCGTCATTTCCACCTGCCGTGGATCTGCCCGCGCGCGGGAGCCTGTCAACGAACCCAATTTGGTCCCGTCTACACTCCATACACCGTGACCTGAGCATTGTTCCTAACATTTTCATCCCACCCGTTCGTGAACTCCCATCTTTCTGTTCTCTTTTCGATCTCGACTCTCGCCGCATCCTTCCCTTAGCGCCGCCCAATGAGCTACAGGTAAAATACGACCGACACCTTTTGCTATTTTCTCGAGCGTGTGCAGCGCGCACCCCCATTTCGTCATCCGCCCACTTTCCCAGCGAACCCCGTTTTGAGCCGAGGCACAATGTCCAGCACCGCTCTCGAGAGCCTCAAGGTGCGACCACAACAACGCCAAAGCCCCGGCGAAAAGGCGCTCCAAACCCGAACCCGCCGAAGTTGACACATTTGCGTGTACAGGCTTACGTCGAACAAATAATTCTTGACCCCAAGAATCGCGACATTCTTGCCATTGTCAAGGGTGCTCGCAATGGCGCCGTCTACGGAGCCAAGGTGCGGTTTCCGCACGCGCTGGTGTACGCCTACGTCCAGAGCCCACGACTTTATAACGCTGAAACGAGACTAAACTGACAATGCGACAGCATGATGCTCCTATTCCGATCGGGGACGTGAGTTTACAAACCCCCTTTGCCCCTTTCCACTCCTACACGGACCTCCAGCTGACCATGTTCAATCATTGCGCCAGTCTCCGTGAAAAAGCAAAACTCATCTTCCGCGCGACGAAAACCCACGCTACGAATCTGGCAAAGTTCGCGACCATATACAAGACCGTCTGCTATCTTCTAAGACATTACGGGACAACGCCTGGCAAGGAAGGCAAGCAGATATCCATACCCCACCCCCTTTGCGACGGCGCCAAAAGTCGAGCGCGTTACCCGAGAGGACGTTAGCTTACACGGTTCCCTCTGGGATGAAATAGGTCCATATGATAGCTTCTTCGCCGGCCTCCTCGGAGGCTACGTCGTCTTCGGTCAGCGATCACGAAAGGGTAAAATCCCGAGCGTCAACCAGCAAATCGTCGTCTACGTCTTTGCGCGCGTGGTGCTGGCACTAGCCCGCCTGGCCGTCAAGCCCGGGTATGGATTGCCGGGCGTGTCCGAGCCCAACAACAGCACCGCTATCAGTCATTATGCTTGGCCGGTATTTGCAGCTGTGTCATGGGCTAGCGTCATGCACCTGTTTAGGTGGCATGATGCCGAGCTGCAACCGAGTCTGCGCAGTAGCATGGTGTACATTTACAGAGACGCGGATACATGGGATGGTTTGCGCAACTTCCTTTGGCACAATAAATAAGCGCGGCTCTACGTTTTGGAACATTGTTGGGATATCGCACGGGTCGGTCACTGCATTTCATATTTACACATACTAATCGGCGCACATATGGCTGGCTTTGGATCGCCAACCAAGAGGTCAAGATGGTCATTTTATCTTTTTTATCATTTTCTTCCCAGCATAGGGAGTGGTTTGGATTACTGCGTGGACTTAGCGCTTGGAAGGGAATTTAACAGGCTTTTGGACTCGGCAATGCCAATAACCATGTCAATGTGTTGCTAGGTGGTTCGATAATCACGCGTATCCCTCGTCTGTCTACTTGTAATGCAGGATGCACTGCATAGGTACCTACATCTCAGCAGTATCTACATACCTCTCTATGTCTAAGAAAAACAAAACCAAATCATGAGTCAAGTACAACAATAGAAGAACGCCGAGGAAAAGGAGAGCAAAGAAGTCGTGACAAGGAGAAAACAACAGCATGTTCAAGATATTGAAGAGTACCTAGGAAAGGTCTAAAAAGGGTCCGAATTCCCAACGTTCATGTAATGTAGAGCAGCACGAGGACGCCCCTATGCAGGTATCTCTGGGCGACTGCATCCTCCATGTCAGCCGGTAGACGGCAGACGGCGTTTGATTCCGGCCCGATCCCGGCCTTGGTCTCCTTCATGGCATCTTACCTCTGTGCATGGATTTCGCGTTACCAGGCGCTGCCGGCATGGCTAGCATACCTACCGCGATACTCCTTCTCCTGCAAGTGTGGAGTCACACGCCAACACCTATGGGTGAGACATCCCGCCACTCCTCCATCCCATCCCAACCAGCATCATCAGATTTCTAGTTGTCGTTGCACTCGTCACGCCCCGACTGTTTTGCCTCAGACGGTCTACCGCGACCGTTCAGATGTCGCGATCAGCACGTTTCGTGGCCAATCTACAAAAGTCGTTCGTTCGTTCGTTCCATCGCCCGGGCTGTTCCCCCCATCAATTCCCAGCCTACCGGAATTCCCGAACCGAACCATGATGCGAGATGCTAGCAGTCGATTGCCCTGAACTCAGCTTCTCGTTCTTCCGCTTCCTCCTCCTCTTGTTGATGCTATCGATAGCCATTAACACAGGAATCGTCGGCGAAAAGATCACGACTGCGCTCCATCCGAATGCCCGAGACCGCACAATCTTTCGTCCGATGTCCTTCGCAAACTGCCGTTTTCGCTCAGCCGTGGGCTTTACATGCTCAGCGTCGTCATCAGCGTCGTCGTCCTGAGTGCCAGTGTTCGCAAACGCAGCGCTGTAGTCTTCCCATCCGCCGGTCCATCTAAAGCCGTGCGAACTAGGCGACGGGTGATACCAGTACGGGATCCTCAACCGCTCATCCTTGTCGCCGCTACAATCGCGCACCTCGACCTTCCATCCGTATCCGCGCATCTCCCCCATCAACGCCTCGCACGACTCGCTGATCTCCCGGATCGGCCCGTCGTAGTGAATATTCACGACGATCTCCCTCAGCCGCGTGAACTCCTCCCGCAGCGCCGTGTCCATGCTGCCAAGCAAAATCTCGCGGTCGTGCGGCCGGACTTTCCAAAATGAATGACCTGGCCCAGACCAGCTGAGATCGAACTCGATCACCTCAACATTCGGACACCTCCGCCAAAGACTCGGCAGTGCACCGGGCACCACGTTGGCGCGAAAGACCAAAGCATCAAGCTTGGCCGGAGAGAGGCCCAGGAGGCCGACGAATGACCGGCGCGTCGGCCAGTCCAGATATCGCTGCCCCGCCCCCGAGTCAAGCGGGAACGGGATGCACAAGTGGCGGAGACAGGTCAGGTTGCGCGTCCCAATTCGGTCGATGAAGCCGCGCATGACATAGTTGGACTGCAGCTGGGCGGAGGGGAACCGGCACAGGGCAGGTGGTGCCCGGAATTGGTTGTGCGAGTAGAAGACGGCGCTGGCTTCCGAGTGGATTTGTTTGCAGATGAGAAAGACGGTGAGCAGGCGGGAGGAGAGCGGCCAGCGCTTGCGCTCGTCGGCGTTGTCGAGGTGCACCCGCACCACTGCACCACTCTTGGCCTTGTCGCCGTCCCTAGAGGTATGATTGTTCCATTCTTCGTCGGTATAGATGATGATGGGCTCCGGAAAGACGAGGAGGGACTCGTAGATCTGGTTGCGTATCTCGCCGGGAAGGCGGAAAAAATTGGGAGGTTTGTTGTTGTTGGACATGGTGGACGTGAAAATCATGGTTGCTTTAGGGTTGCCGAAGTCGGCCGAAACGTGCAAGGAACGAACGACTGACTGTGTCGGCAGCCAAGTCCCCTTTTCTTCCGTGTCCCTTTCCTTTTCTATGGCGGTGCCATTTGATACGAATAGAAATCAAAATGACCGAGGCAGATTTGCTGATAAGAGAGTGAGAGAGAGAGGAGTCTACTGGTAGAGACCAGGGATATAAGTGTGCGTGACTAGGTAGGTGGTAGGTAGAGGTAGGTAACAAGGTGCTGCGGTCGAGAGGAATAGGAAGTTGAAGGATGAGTCGTAAGATGGGGGCTGTGGGAGGGAAGGGCAAGAAAAGTCGGAGCCTTCCACTTGGGGGAGGTGAGGAGACTCGAGGAGGGATCCATTAGGGTCGTGAGGGGTCTTGTCCAGCCAGACGGGATTGGCTGGATCAGCCCTACCTCGTGGCGATCCAACGGGAGGTCCCTGCATGCCAAGCGGACGGTTGTCACTCCTGTCACTGTGACCAGGGGCCACGGGGCCCGTCTGGCCCTCCATCCATTATCACCATGTCAACAAAGGTCCCGAGAGACGGCTGTCAAAACGCCATGTCCGAGTCTTGACTTCCTTTCAAGAGTTGGGATAACTTGGATATAAGGGCCCATCGGACAGCTCATTACCGTGAAAATGGCTTCACTGTTAAAGCTAACACCTGCACAGTTCTCCGGGACGTAACAATGTGATGAGTGGGCGCTTATGCGCGATCGGCCAAGTGAGAGCGGTCCGAGTGGAAGTGGCCCTTGACCCGAATGGTACGCTATGCCCGCCCTAAAGTCCCTGATCACCACGAGTCTGTGGCAGGAGCCTCGAATTCATAATACGAGGAGCTTTGCAAAGATACCTCTAGGTACCCGTCGAGATTGCCCAGCCATCGTAATGAGCTAGAGGTACTCAGCATCAATATCAAAGCCATTTGATAATCCTTTGCGATAGGGCTGGCCGGGTAAACGTTCAAGTTCTAGCATATCATCAAGTCAGCGAGTCGAGGTCGAAAAACTTAAATACGGTCGTATTTGTTCAATGGTAACGAGTTCACAGAGTTGAGTCAAGGGCAGCACGACAGTCAGGCATGAGGCTCGTGAGGTTGTATCAACGCCAAGTACCGTACGCTTGCAGCTGTGATCATCAACGGGAGTAACCGAAGCTCTCGTAGCACAGTATGACAGCATGTAAGGACCCAATATCAAACCAAGATACCCAAGACTTCTGGTATGCCCCCGGCCGGAAGCCCGCACTGAAATCCATGGGATAGGTGGTCGACTGGTGCAATACAAGGCGGCCAGAGGGGTAGTGCACACGTGCTACCAGACAGCAGAGGTATGAACCACAAACACTGAATGCGCAAAATGACTGGTATGAAATGACTGCGTTTGCTTCCTGTACGGTTTTGTGTTTCGTGGGGCAAGCCGGCCAAAGCAGTTCCATTTCTTCTTGGGGCTTGTTTCGGAATCGAAGAGATGGGATATGAAAGCAAATGGTTTACGCTCACTTCCAAGCCTCCCTCAGTCGCGGGTTTCTCTCTCCCCGGCACTGGGCAATACCTTCTTTCTCGAAATTCAGCAGCAATTTCGCCCATCGAGGCCACAGAAATTAACGTCATTCGAGTCATCTATACGTGTATCTTTGGACTCTTTTGAACAAAAATGGCTTCGCCAACAACATCAACAGCATGGCTGACTCTCATGACGACAACCTGGTTCACGCCTAGCATTTCAACTTTCCCTGCCGCCAACTTCACGTGCCCCGAATTATTCTTTGGTCACCAACAGCATGATACTGACATTGGCGGGGGCTCTGAAAAATTCCACATTGACAGTCCTACACGTCAAGTTGCCGATTTCATCGCCACCGCCTTAGGTAGTGTTCAGACTAGCATAAGTTTCGCGTGTAGCTATCGGGTTGCTGCTGAGACTGGAGCTGTCTCCTCGGAAAGCACCTCACGAGCCTCGACGGCGTCGCCTACACACACTACCAACACAGCCGCTCACCCTATCGCTACTCACAAACTCACCCACACGAAGACAAACGGAGGCGCGATCGCGGGTGCGGCTATCGGTGCGGCGCTACTGGGTCTCATGGTCGGAGCTCTTATCGGTTACTTTTGCCTGAGTGCGAAGCGTCGAAAGCGTCAGGACACTGTTGATCCTCACAACGAAGGTACGGCAATGACCACCTTCCTTCCCCCGGCCTCTCTGCCCAAGGAGAGATTATCATCCAAAAGCAGTGTCCGAAACGAGGCGTTTCTTTCGTCTACCGGCAATACTGGCGGAGGAGGTAGTAGCATCAACAACGTCCTATCTGGCATCGGCATTCACGAAGGCGCCAGTGACGAGGAGATCAAATCGGAACTGTCTGCCCTCGGCTATCTTCTCCAGGAACACGTACAGAACAACTACCACCTTGACCCACTGGATGGCAGCAGAAACGAGGTCTTCAAACTTAACCAGGCTTTGGCAGATCCAGCCTTTGGTCTGGACAATCGCACCCACGCCCTGATCTTGAAGCTCTCCCAGGACCCGCAGACTCGGTTCCCAGCCATCCGTCACTTCCTCGCGCTTACCATCTTTCCTGCCTTGGACTTGCACCATGTCCGCACTCACCCGGGTAGTGTCTCGCTTTTGCCGCGGCAAGTTACCTCCTTCCTTGAGTCCATTCCTTCTTCGTCAGCGGCAGGCATGGGAAAGAACTCTATGACGCCCCAGAGTAAGTAGCCCTCCCCCAATCCCCCGTCCCCAAATACCTCCAGATTACGGTAACCAAACTAACTGCCTACGTATAATGTATCCAGCCGCAACAGCCCTAAACCTCTGGCGCCGTCTCTCCGCTTACCTCCTCCTCCATGTCCTCCTCGACAAACCCTCCAACCCTATATCCCCTTCCTCCCCCATCACTACCTCTACTACCAGCAACATCCCCCTCGACGAAGACTACGACCCCAACCGCCGCTACTCCTCCTCAACAACCACCATTGCCGCCCAAGTAACCAGCCTCCGCGCCTCTTTGAACAAGTTCCTGGGCATCTTTGTCCACTCGGACCGCCGAGCCATCTTTGATCAGGAGAGGAACCTGGAGGGCGTAATCCAGGAGTGCGTAAGTTTTGGGTACATGTTGTTTGCGCATGGGTGTGAGTGGCAGTTTGTGTTTGATGCCCCTGGAGAAGCAGAAGAAGAAGCAGAAGAAGAAGAAGTGGGGGGTATGCAAAAGGGAACGAAGCTCTTGGCGTTGCCGGGCTTGGAGAAGTTGGGAGATGGAAAGGGGGAGGTGTATAAGGTGCCAAAGGTTGTGGTTGAGGGGGAGATTGTGGCTGTTGAAGTTCCGTGATGATGAATTGCGTTCACTCTTTGTTTGTAGCACTCTTAAAAGACTGTGCAATGGAGGGGGTCATGGCATGAGGTAGCACGCACTTGCTTGGAGTTCAGGAAAACAGAATGGATGTGATTATCGAAGGAGATGGAGATGGAGTTATCATCAATGCAACGTTCGGTTTAGTTCTTGCAAAGCTCGAGAATTGTCGTCTTGAAGATGACATATCCCAAGACCCGAGGTAGATGGGGCACATCGACCCCTAACTATACATGTTCAACACCCCGACGGCATTTTACACAAATTTTTTCGTATCTTAAAAACGAATCCGTTGCCAAGAGGATTCTTTCAACTTCAGGGTCGTAGGGCCGAGAGATCGTGGAATGCGTTGGGAACTACGGAGAATATAGTAAGTGTACCATAAACCGCCTTTAATGTAGCTCCCGATGTCTTTACTTCTACAGCTTTACTGTGGATCCTACATGTACTAGGCTCTAAACTTTTCATCCCAACTTGAATGTCATAGTCTTGTTGACTTGGTCCCAAGGCCACATCCTTTGCATTCCATCGCAAGCCCCTGCTCATTACCCCCCAGATCCCCTCCTCCTCCTCCTCGTCGACAGCCTCCACAACGCCCCTCTCAACTCCTCATCCTCATCACCATCTTTATCACTCCTCTGACCCTCAGCATCCTCATAAACCTCCTCAAATGGCACCACATCGCCCCAGCACTCCACCCCGCCGTTTTCCTCCCCCGGCATCTCTCCACTCAAGAAATACCTTCTAATCACCTTCGCCATACAAACCGACGGCGCCGCCAGACTCGTATGCCCCCAACTCCCTCTCTGCACCACCACCCTGGCCCCCTTGAACCCCCTGGCATTCTTCCTTGCACTGATCAATGGCGTAACATTGTCAAACTCATTGCTGACAAACAACACTGGGTGAGCTGTCTGTACATCCTTGAACAACAAAGAAGAATTAAACGGCTCCCAGCGAGGCCGGACAGTCCGCCCGGCGCACAACAGCCGAACAGAAGCTTGCACTGCCCCAGCTGCCTGGGAAATATTCAGTAGCTTTTGGGCATAGAGAGCGAAGTCGTGAGGGGTGGAGGTAAAAGGTAAGGCGTCGGAACACATGACTGCTGGGAAAACGTCGGGGTTACCTGCTTCTTCTTTGGGGATGAAAGTGAGAGGAGGTGTGTCGTCTTGGTCGTCGGCTTCGCAGGTGGTCGGAGAGGAGGGAGCCGGTGGTGGATAGTCGGAGAGGGTGTATTGGTGGTAGGGGAGGGCATCGCCGGCTTCGAGACTCGATAGGACACGGGCTATGTGAGGAAAGCGGAGGATCGGTTGGTAGAGGGCTGTGGAAAGCATGCGGCGGATGTGGGAGTAGGTTACTAGTTGAGGGACGTGATAAGGTTTGGTTGAAGCTAGAGATGGAGATGACGGGTTGGATGGGGTTCCAGAGGGAGATGGGAGCTGGCCCTGAGGGATAAGAATGGGGTGCGTTCGGAGCTTGGTGAGTAGGGTGTCGAGACGCGACTTGATTGCGTTGGGGGAGGAGGCGTAAAAGGCACAGCGATCAGGACCAGCGGAATGACAGAAGGTGTAAAAGGCCTGCATCACTTTGTCGGTATCGTGTAGGAAGTTGATATATGTGCCGTTGTACCAGTCCTCGTAGTCGACGTTGCCTGTCATGGTTTAGGTCAGCAAGCTGCATCGAAGCAAGCAAACCTCTCGGCTCTTTCTGGGTAGAACTCACCATCATTAACCATCCTCTCGACCCTGTCCGGATACATAGCAGCAAATGTCCCACCCAGCACCGTCCCATAGCTGAACCCCCAGTACTTCAGCTTCTCTTCCCCCATAGCTTCAAGAATCGCGAGCATATCCCTAGCATGGTACGCGGTACTGCTATGCTCCAAAATCCCCGACTCTTCGAGATTTCGCTCGCAAACCTGCGAGTACGCAGCCGCCCGAGCAAAGGCTTCGAACACGGTCCCTTCATGGGCATCCACGACACCTGGGTCCTGCAAATCCCAGTAAACACGATCCTGTATGGAAGCCCAACAGTTAATCCGCGGCGTTGAGGCACCGACACCCCGTATATCCCAACTGACAATATCGTGGTTGGTGCCCACGATAGTTTGCAGGTTTCGCCCGTGGTCGCGGAGTGACCAAATCCCCGACCCTCCTGGTCCACCGGGGTTGAAGACGACAGGCCCTCGGTAGTCGGGGCTGTGTGAGGGCACGGCAGCTCGGAGACGGACGATGGCTAAGTTGACGCGCCGTTCTGAAGCAGAGCCATTAGTTACTTCTGGTTGCTGCCAGTCCATGGGGAGATCGAGTCGCGCGCAGTCAAGTTCGTCGTCGTAGCATGGGTGCCATTGAATCGGTGATGGACCGGGTGTGATATCTGCCCAGTTAAACTCCTTGGCTTCCTTCTTCTGGTCCTTGTCCGGCGGGTAGGCTGTGTTGGTAGGAGACCATTTTGGTCTTGCTGTCCAGGAAAGTGCGGACAAATCTGACAACGATAGCACCACCAGTATGGCTAGTGCTACAGCTGTACATAATCGTGCAATCTTTGTGATTTTCGAATGCGTTCTTTGGTTCAAAGGATGCCGCTCACTGATGGCAGACACCCGGTGACCGGCTCCTTGTTTCCTGCCCATCGTATACTTGCTCACCATGGGCGCCTCTAGAGGATTCCTGCTGGTTTAGACACTGACAAGTCCATCGGGGTTGAGAAGAAGACGGACAGGAAGAATTTGACGAGGGCGCTATCACCTGTACCTAAAGTAGTAATGTGGATATGCTAAACACCAGCTGAACTCTTTGCTGTACGACTCGGGGATTTGCCATCATTGGACCCGTCGGGGTTGTTGATCATTTCTCAGAAGTCTTTGGCGCCATTGAAAGTTGCTTTTCAGCTGACGGCTAGATTAAGCAATCCAGATTGGCTGGCACCAGATTCTGGCAATCCCACTCAAGGTGTGCGTTGGTACCATACTGTAGATAACTCCTGCATACCCTACGTACGTGTGAAGTAATGGAGGTTGTGTATGTACACTATTCTAGAGTCCAAGGGTCCAGTCCCTCGTTCTCCGGATAACAAAGGTTGAGGAAACGCTCCAATAAAGAAGCCGCTAAGAGGAACTGGCGGGGATAAACTGCACGCCCGATTGGACTTTGTCCTGATCCGCAGGGCAACCCCGCATGATACAACGCGATGTCTGAAGTGGAGGCCGGGGCATCTTTGGCGATCCAGGATCAATCAAGCTCTTCAGGAGACGAGGGTGAGGGAAGTGGCACAAGTTTAATCAAGCGTTCACCACTTAGTGAACATCCCTGGCTTCCAAACCACAATCACATATCAACAAGCCATGTGTAGCTAAAGTCATCTTTATTAGACGCTTAACTCGTAGAAACTTTTCCGAAACATGGAAAATAACAAAAAAGAAAAGGAAAAAAAAAAAAAAAAAAAAAGCACAAACAACAAAGAGCCTGGATGTAATGTGGGGGAATCATTGAAAACAACATTTTCCTCGTCACAACACCCCTAAATCCCCAAACGCCAATGCCAATCATGCTCATGGGATAACACAACTGAAATTTGCCGACGTACTCAGGGCCCGATTAGTCCGAGCTATCAGACGTACTGAGTGTTTGTTCGGGGGGTTGCGTCCTATTCTTGAGGCTTATCGGCCTCCTTTTCCTTGTCATCTGTTGTTGCTGCCGGTGCTTTGTCGGATGCCTCCTCGGCAACCTTGCTTGGCTCTTCTGCCACTGGCTTCTCAGTGTTGGCGTCTGGTACCGGCGAGGCGGCCTTGGGAGAGGCTGCTGCTGCTGCCTCGGTAGCAGGCTCCGCAGTGGCGGCGGCGGGACTTGGCCTGCGCTCTGCCTCCGGCTCCGGAGCAGGGGCAGTCTCAATTTCCTCGGTCTTGATCTCCGCCTCAGGTTCTGCAGGCTTCTCATCGGCCTCGCCCATATCCACATCGCCATCCTCGTCAACTTTGGCCGCAGAGCTTGCTGCAGGCTGCGCGGCTGTCGTTGCGGGGGCTTCGGCTTCAGGTTCAGCGGCGGCCGGTTGGGCTTCGTCGTTATCGATCATGGTCTCATCGTTGTCGACAGCAGTAGGCTCCGCTGGCTTAGCGGCGGCCGCGGCGGCGGTGGCGGCAATCGAGGGCGGAGCTGGTTCTCCAATATCAAGATCCATGTCCTCCACGGCCTTGGGGTTCTTGAAGTCGAGAATGGACCGGCGCTGCGGTCCGTTCGGCTTGAACACACCATTGGCTTGAGCCATGTCCTCGTCATCACTTTCTTCAAACTCGTCTTGCCTAGTTCTCTCCTTCTCCCATTGACGCTGTGTCCGCCGGACATCCTTGTTCTCGTCCTCATCCATGTCGTCAAGCTCGTCTTCCTGATCGTCCGACATACCGAAGCCCTGACGCGGAACGTCCTGCATCTGGACAGAGGGAACTGGGGCGGTCTTCTTCAGGTTTTCTATCACTGATATCTTGATCTTCTCCAGGTACTCTGGGCTGTTGGCGTTCTCCATATTGGAAGAACGCACATCAAGCTCGTAGTCGGGACCGTAATACTAAGAGTTTGTTAGCAAGGCGGTAAACCAGAATGGAGCTAATCCACTTACGTCGTAGTACTCGTTGTAAGGAAGGACTGGGTTCATCTCGACACCAACCAAACGGCCGGTTTCGTAGGCCCAAGTCCTTGCGACGTTGCGCATGGTGTAGCCACCCCCGCCGAGAACCAGAGTGGGCAGTCCAAAGCTTCGCACGTAATTAACGCAGTTAGCATGGCCGCGCATGCTCAAGTTAAAGCAGCCAAGACGATCACCGGACAAACTGTCACCACCGCATTGGAGGACAACAGCCTCAGGTTGGAAGTATTGCATGACAGCGCTAATGACGGGCTGGAAGATGGAGCTGTAGGTGGTGTCGTCGATTCCATCGCGGAGGGGGAAGTTGACGGCATAGTTCTTGCCGGAACCGATACCAATGTCGCGCAACTCGCCGGTACCGGGGAAGTACTCGCCGTACTTGTGGAAGGATACGGTCATGACGCGATCCGTCGTATAAAAGGCTTCTTCGACACCATCGCCGTGGTGCACATCGATGTCAATGTAAAGAACGCGCTTCTTGAAACGCAGGAGCTCTAGGATAGCCAGGACGATATCTATTCGGTGTAGTAGGTAAGCATGGGTGGCGTCGCACGGGTTCCAGGAAATTGTGAAGGCCACATACCATTGACATAGCAGAAACCGCTAGCTTCGCTCTTCTTGGCGTGATGTAAACCACCGGCCCAATTGATGGCGATGTCGCACTTGTCCCGATTCAAGCGAGCGGCACCCTCCATACTTCCGCCGGCACTGATGCCGCAGAACTCAAACAGGCCGTCGAAAACGGGACAGTCGTCGCCAACATTGTACTTGCCCTGCTCGCGCATGAACCCGTCCATGTTGTCGGGCGTAACCTTTTGTAAAAACTCAATATACTCGTCGGTGTGAAACTGTGTCATTTCGGCAGTAACGGCTGGTTTTGCACGCTAACACAGAGAGGGTCAGTTTGTCGTTGACCAAAGCCAGTACGCCCAACACAGCAAACTTACGTAGACCTCGAGAAACTTGTACACGTTGTAGTTCATGACCAGACTGTGGGCAAGACGGATACGATGGGGCTTCATAGGATGGCCGGTCACGTAGGCATAGTTGCCAATGTCGGAGTCGTAGAAGTAGGCGACCCGCTTCTTGTCATTGTGGACGACGGTATACAACGGCTCGTCACGCGCGACTCCGGCGGGATCGGTGAATGTGGAAGGCATGGTGGGCAGAAGTTGCCGGGTTGCCCGTTGTGTTGTGTTGCGTTGGCGGATACGGAGGACTATTGCGGTACAATTCGGATTGTGGATTGGATGGTGTGTGTGTGTGTGTGTGTGTTGTGGTGGTGGATATCACGTCCACGTAGAAGTTATCGCTGACCGGGAGACGCTGGGATAGGAAGGACCCCGTCGTGAAAGGAAATGTTCAGGGCGCCGGGCTGAATGGGGGAAACACGTGTTGAGGATCGTGGTATTGATAGAATGACGAAGTATGATATAGAAATATGTATCCCCGTGATGTAGCAAATCACCTGGGCGGTATCGTCATGGCTTGCCAGCAACGAAAAGAAAGATGGTGTTTAGTTCGAGCTCGGTTCCTGACGCCGGGGTGTCTGTCACTGAGTGGCAGAATTGCTTGTACGAGCCACGGCACAACGCTGAGGTCGGTGCGTGGGCGGACAGGCGGGGAAGAAAGCGCAAGCACGAGCAACCCCAACGGGCGAGTGGGGTGTACCAATTGAGCTGTTCCCCGTTCTCCAACAGCTTTAACCAATCAGAAAACGGACTGGGTACCTGTCGTCCTATCGGCAGGCAACGTCGACCCTCCAAAAGAAGCGCGACTCTTGAGGTCAACCGCTTTGCCTGCCGAGCTGCAGACCAGATAAGATTATGTAATCCACAGCTTCCAGTTCAAGGGAACCTTCCGTCACCGGGCTGGCCTGCAGTGGACTTTGTGGCAGTTGGCGTTGCAGGCTGCCACAGCTTGTCGTCAACGCCGCCGCCAGCCAGCTGCGGCAAGCTCCCCATAGGTGCTGCATGCTCCATGCTCCAATCTGACGCGGTACCTTGGGTAGAGGTACTCAACCCACCAAACAACAAACCGCCCCGTCTCCCGTCTTGTCATCGACGACATCCCACTTCAACTTCCACTTTACAACGAAACCGCCACCGTTTGCATCGCAACCCTCCATTTACTTCTGCGCGACGTCATTACACCCGAGGAACGACGCCGATAATAATTCTTAACCCCCCCGTCACACGGCTACGTCAACATATAATACACAACTTTCCAACCAACAAACACATTCAAGATGGATCGCATGCGCAGCTTGTTGGGCGGCGGCCTGGGAATGGGCGGTGCCACTGCGCCAGGAGCCGTATGTTTGTTCCCATTCGCGACTTGAAAACAGAACCGCAGGCTTGCTTGGTCTGGCGTAAAGGTGGCAAGGACATGATGCTAATGTGCTGGGTTCTGGCCAGGACAACACCAACCTCATCGATAACTCGGAAACCGTCTACATTTCCTCCCTAGCCCTCCTCAAGATGTTGCGCCACGGTCGCGCCGGTGTGCCCATGGAAGTCATGGGCCTGATGCTGGGCGAGTTTGTCGATGACTTTACCGTTCGCGTCGTCGATGTGTTTGCCATGCCCCAAAGCGGTACTGGTGTCAGTGTAGAGGCTGTCGACCCCGTCTTCCAGATGAACATGATGGACATGCTCAGGCAAACGGGAAGGTGAGAGGATACTCAACTCAGCTTGATTTTTCACCACCCACTAACGTATTTCCCTTCGCAGGCCCGAGGCCGTCGTCGGCTGGTACCACTCGCATCCCGGTTTTGGCTGCTGGCTTTCGTCGGTTGATATCAACACCCAACAAAGTTTCGAACAACTCAACTCCCGTGCGGTCGCCGTGGTTATTGACCCCATTCAGTCCGTCAAGGGCAAGGTTGTGATTGATGCTTTCCGTCTCATCAACCCCCAGTCGCTCATGCTGGGTCAGGAGCCCCGCCAGACGACATCCAACTTGGGACATCTCAACAAGCCTTCCATTCAAGCCCTCATCCACGGCCTGAACAGGCACTACTACTCGATCGGCATCAACTACCGCAAGACCGCCTTGGAGGAGAACATGTTGATGAATCTGCACAAGCACGTTTGGACCGAGGCCCTCGAAATGGAGGACTTCCGCTGCGAGGGATCGAGGACGAAGGAGAGACTCGACCGCCTGGTCAGCCTTGCTGACGGCTACGAGAAGAGAGTCAAGGAGGAGACAGAGTTGACCAAGGACCAACTCAAGACACGCTATGTTGGCAAGGTGGATCCCAAGAAGCACTTGGAGGATGTCGGACAGCAACTTATCGAAGACAACATTGTTGCCGTTACAAGGCAGATGATCGACAAGGAGGCGACCATTGCGAAGAAGGATACCCCCGCTGGGGCCAACGGCACCACACATGGCGACCAGATGGAGGTCGAGGAGGAGCAGCTATAGGTACCTACCTAACCAAAAGGACAAGCATGCATGACGTTTTTCTTTGCAGGCGCATACCTCCGACTTGTGATTTTGTATGACTAGGCGTTAGGTATAAGGATGGGCAGCTAGACCGGTAGCCATGTTCAAGATTCGGTTTTCGTTTTCAGTGAATGGGGTTGTCTGTTCAGGTACAGACTTGCAGTGACTGGTTTACGGGTTCGTGGCTAGTGGTGTAAGTGACATCAATTTCTTTGTTTCCGATTCTATACCTGAGTTGATGTCACAGGAATGAGTGCACCACGTCTTTGTGCGCGGAAAGCTGTTCTTGATTACACACCATTGTCCTTTGACAGATGCTCTGCACATCGTTGCCATGCCCATAATTGCATTGTTTACTTGTGGTGTTCATGACACACGCACATCTCTTGGAGGCTTCTCATCCGAATATAAATGTCGGAAAGCCCATCACACTTCCAAATGCGTTTTGTTTGTCATCCACAAGAACACCTACAGTCATACAACAAACACTGGACTACTGCCAAAAACAAGTCAAGATGGGTTTTGCAGCTTACCTAAAGACAATCCTCAGCGATTTGTTGTGCGGTCCGCAACCCAACAAGAACCAACATGCTCAAAGACACGGTAACAAAGCCAGCGACCGCAATGGCAGCCGGAAAGGAAGCCATCAACATAAGAAAACGATGCTAACTCCAAAAGGCCAGCACCATGGAACCACCACCCCCAGAACTACCCAGGAAAATAGGAACCATCGGTACCTACCTCCCAACCCTCCTAACCCCCCTCCTGCCCCTCCTCCATCTCCTTGTCCGCGACCGATTCGTCTTTGTTACGGCGTGGTTCTCTAGAAGGTAGCAGGTAATAAGGGATCATGAAAGGTACTCCAACCAAGTAGGTAGGTATAAGTAATTATTGTAGTATAAAGAGCTATGGAAGTAGAAGGGGGAAGAGTCTAGCTATAAATATATGTGGTTGGATAGTAGAGATGTTAATCCCTGACAGTACTCCCCTCCCTAAAGCGCTATTCGTCTCGAATAGCCAATTTAGTGCCCCTCGGTTTCGTTATGGTTCGTCCCTCCACGGAGTGAGATGTCTTAATGTGTCTTCTCAGATTAACCTTAGATGTATATGTGAAGTCGGTCCCGCAAAGCTCACATAACCATCCTTTGTTATGGTCCTGTTGCATATGAAGCGCTAGCGGTATAGTGCCCGAGAGCGTTATCGAGTATTCGTTACACTGTATTTCGATATATCGCTTCCGTCGGTGTTCCTTAAGCTGCCTGGTGGTTGGGAAGGTCGCTAGGCACTCGCTATACGTAATTTTTCTGCCGTGGTCATTTGCTATATGTCTATTAAATACGTAGGTTATTCTGAACGTTAGGTTGTATATTGTATATTTGTGTGGAAATTGTGAGGGTTCGTAAGTACGCTGGTGGTTGTCCCTTTTGACCTCCTTAAAGTATTATCGCCCGTAGTTACACCTCTATTTGCTGTGGACGTCGTTAAGGTGTGCCGTTATGTTTGCCCTATTTGCGAGAATGTTGTTGTAAATCGGGCAGCTCAAGTGGATCATCCTAATTGCTACAATATGATTTTCTAGGGCTTTTCCACTGTGGAAGATCCTATTGTAGTGGACGTAGACGAAGCGTACCGATACTTTACGGCTCCTAGTTTCGGCCTTCCTCATGCTTGGCCTGGTCCGGATTTCGGCCTTGCCTGTAGGAAGTTCGTATAGGGCCGGAGGCGGCGTGGGGGCCTATTGATTGGGTGACGGCGGTTGGTAAGGCGACGCTGGGGGTGGCGTAGGAGCTCGTTAGCTTAGTGATGGGGGGTGGTAAAGCGATGCTGGGGGTGGCGTGGGAGCTTATTGGCTTAGTGATAGGGGGTAGTAAGGCAACGCTGGGGGTAGCGTAGGAGCTCGTTGGTTTGGTGGCGGCGGGTGGTATAATAATACTAGGGGTAGTATAGTAATACTGAGGGTGGCGTAGAGGCTCGTTAATTGGGCGACGGTAGATAGTATAGAGATCCTAGGGGCGAAGGCGGCGGGGGACTCGGGGCGTTTTGGTTGGGTGACGGTGGAATGGTTGGGACGGGGCGCTCGGGGTCTTCATCGCTAGTTTGTCCCGGAAACCTCTCTCTATTAGATTGTAGCTGTAAGACGTAAAAGATTGGGTATACAATCTTTCTTGTACCTACGAACCGGGGTAGTTTCAGTACGCATACGCGCGGGTATACCTTTAGGATCTCGTACGGGCCTATCTACCTAAAATCTAATTTATTAGGTTTGTTAGCTTTTAACTATACTTTATCTCCGATATAGTATTTAGGCGTATTGTTCCGGTTTATATTTGCCTATATACAGTAACGCTCTATAACTTTATATATATTATCTTTTAGTATTTCGAGTATTATCCTAATACGTCGGACTTTATTATTAATTTTAGCGATCTTCTTAACGTCGTCCGTTTTTCCGACTATTCTAGGGATTAGTAGTTCAATTCCGATTAAAGGGTTAAATTTATAGTTAGCGAAAAATAGGGATACCTAGGTCGTTTTTAATATATAATTGTTAATTATAAATTCAGCGAATAGTTGTAATAGGGACAGCACGGTTAATACGGGTGCTGGTCGTATAGCTTGATTAAGGTTCTATAAAGGAGGAAAAGTTTATTTGAGATGCGGATCTACCGGCGCTGAGAGGTTTTTATTAGGACTGTACGCTCTATACTAC